GTGATCATGTCTTATGCACAAAATAAGGATATAATGCTGCCATCTAATGTCAATTCAATGTTCTCTTAACAGGTGGGTGAATTTTCTGGAGCTAATAAGGAAAAACTTGAATCCACCATCAATGAATTCATCTAATTATTCTGAAAACATAGCCAGCCATTGGCTCTTTAAATCTTGTAATTTTTTTTCTAATTTACAAAAAGGAAAGACTATACTCAACTCCCATCTGGTTACAAATGAGAATAAAATATTAATTCTACCCTTTTTAAAACTGCCTGGTGTCTTTGACTAGCTTTCAGAATAAATGAAAGGTAGCCATTAGATGATATTTAGTGTCTTGATTATTTTCACATATTCTCGGTCACTTTTTAATAACATTGTAGGTTACTTTTTTTTTTTCTAGTATTACTGTCAGCGTATTTCTAGGAAAATCTTGTTGGGGCAATGCAGTTAATAGATAAGGGTTAAAAAAATTGAATTCTAACACACTAACGAACAGAGAAAAGCGTTTTCTCTGTTCTAGCAGGCAAATCTATGCTCTCTGAACGATCAGCATGACAAAAACGCATGTCCACCCAGGAAGCAGTTGTTTCTCTAGCTGGAGATTCCTGTCCCAAAGGTTCCAATGAGCTGCTAATTTTGCTCATGGAAACTGGGTCCTGTTACATCAATTAGTAATTCTTTATGACTGGCTCACAAGGGAATTCCTGCAAACATTACCATCAGAATTTTGATTCCCTTCCCTCAGAGTAGCTAAGAAACTGGTTTTATAGATGGAAATTTCAACCTGAGGGGTGAAGGGTATAGAAGTTACTAATTATTTCATTCAAAGAACATTCAGTGTTGGCTGTGTCTAAAACACAAAGTAGTGGAAGAATGCTTGAAGTTTTTCAATGTGTATTATGAAAGAATTAATCACATACCCCACATCATCCTTATATTAATCTGTACCCCCCCCCCCCAGAAAGGGTAGGTACTATAAACCCCATTTTCCAGTGAGAAAACAGGCAAAGGTTAAGTAATTTCCCCAGCATCATACTAGTCTGAAGATCTGAGATTCAAACCAAAAGAGTGTGCAGCCCAAGTGCTTGGTGCTCGACTGCATTACACTTCCTCATTGTAACAGTCTGACTAAATAGTAAGATGATGGGCCCTTTTCTGCGTTCCTTTCCTCAGCTAAAATTAGGGCACAGACCTTCAAACAATTTTTCAAAATATTAATCGAATGCCCATTCTGCGCAAGGCAAGGGATATAGTTGTGAGTGAGACACTCTTCTCAGAGATCACATTTTAGAAAGGGAGGCAAACTGGCAAATGATAGGATGAAGAATATTCTACAGAACCAAAACAAACACATGGAGTGGTTGGGGTAGGGTTCTGTGAGGAGATCACGCTGAGACCTAATTAGTGAAATGGACTCTGACCTGTAAAGTTAAAGCACAAAGTCAGGAAAGAGCCGGTACGTTTTATCAGAAGCACGAGAAAAAGCTGGATAGAGTGGCAGGGACCGGTCATCGAAGGCCTTCCTTGTTCCAGGTGCAAAGGTAGGCCATTGAACTCTGACCGTAAGAGTTCATTTTGGCAGCTGTACGGAAAATGAGTGGGGCAAGGAGACTAAGAACTAGAATGTCACATTTTTGCCATTACCTAGGCAGAGATACTGATAGCTGTGATTGGGGGATGCCAGGGAGGTGGTAGAGATGAAGTGTGTACAGACTTGATAACATTTTGGAAAGCATCCAAGGACTTCTGGGAGTAGGAGTCTAGAGTAAATCCCAGGTTTTTGGTTTGAGCAAATTGGTAGTTGGGGTGTCATAATGAGGATTGGCGGGAGCAGGTCAGGTTCTCTCCAGACATGTGAACAAAGATGCTTCAGTGGTGTGCCTTCAAATGAAGACGTCTTGCAGGCTATTGGGTACTAGTCTGGAATGCAAAAGATAGGTCTGGACTGGGGTAGGACTTTAGCAGACATTGTTGTATAGTTGGCAGTTAAAAACAGGAGTAGAGGAGATCACCCAGGAAGAGAGTTTTAGAGTAAAGAGGGCCGAAGACAGCCTGATGAACTTCCAATATTTAGAGACCAAGTAATACAGGAACTAACAAGGAAAACTAGAAAACCCACAGAGGAAACCAGGAAAGGGTTTTGTCCCAGAAGTAAAGCGATTTCAAAAAGGAAATAGTGTCAAACATCAAATGTTGACAGGCTAAGAAAGATGGCAGGAAAACAAAATGGAGGTTGTGACTGTGACCAAAAATTCCTGTGGAATGACAGGGATGGAGGCTAGATTGGTAGGAACGAAAGAGTGACCAGAAATGACCTGGTAGTCTGCATTTCTCATATCTACCCTAAAGAAGCTAACATTTGTGAGGAAAAATGTCCAAGGATCATTGTTGCAGCATTGTCTATAGCAGCACAAAATTGCATCTACATCAATAGAGAAATGGTTAAATTCATGATAAATCTTTTCTAGGTAATATAGACTAAGGAGTTACTACTGAAATAGGAGAATCTCAAAGTCACTAAGTGAAACAAAGCAAGTTGCAGAATATTAATACTGAACGGTAAGATTCCATTTGTATAAAACACAAGGCTTGCTGGATATCTCTACGTAAATCTGCATGTAAATTAACAGGAAAATATCTCCAAGGAAACACTTCTAACTAAAAGCAGTGACTTCTGGAGAGAAAGGTAGGTAGAGAGATTGGTGATTTTTAGTTTTATCTGTAAATGTTTTAAAGAAGCAATAGAATGCAAAGAAGGGGAAACAGAGTCTGTAGAACCCATGAGAAATTTTGCTCTGAGAGATGGCATTAAGAGGCATTCTGTGTGTAAGATGGGTGGGTGTGCTAGCATGCAAATGGGAATGATACATAGGTAGAGACTGATTTTTCAGGAAAAAGGATACCTGAAAAAGAATTTCTTGTGTAGTCAAGAAAGAATGGGATTCAGAGCACAGTGGGAGAGACTGGTCTTTGATGGGAGGAAAGTAATTTCCTTCACCATAACCAGTGGAATAAAGATAAGAGCATGAGCATCTAAATATATAAAGCACATTAACAGACCTAAAGGGAGAAATAGCATACAATAACAGTAGGGAACTATAATACCCCATTTGCATCAATGGATAGGTCATCCAAACAGGAAAATCAAAGAAACCTGGCTTAAATGACACATTAGACCAGATGGCCTTAACAGATATATAGAACACTCCATCTACAAGCAACAATACATATTCTTCAAGTGCACGTGTAACATCTCCAGGATAGATCACATGTTAGGCCACAAAACAAGTGTTAACAAATATTAAAAGACTGAAATCATATCAAGCATATTAAGCATCTTTTTCAACCACAACAGTGTGAAACTAGGAATCAATTACAAGAAAACTAGAAAATTCATAAATATGTGGAGATTAAATAACATACTATCCAGTACTGACTGATTCAACAAAGAAATCAAAAGATATCAAAAAATACCTTGAGACAAATGAAAAATGGAAATACAACATACCAAAACTTATGGGATGCAGCAAAAGCAGAGAGGCGTTCTAAGGGGGAAGTACATAGCAATAAATGCCTAACTCGAGAAAAAAGAAAATCTCAAAACAACCTAACTTTACACAAGGAACTAGAAAAAAGAACAAATGAAGCCCAAAGTTAGAAGGAAGGAAAGTTAGAAGGCAGAAATAGTTGAAATTGAGACTAAAAAGACAATGGAAAAGATCAATGAAACCAGAAGCTGGTTCTTTAGAAAAGATAAAGAAAATTGGCAAACCTTTAACTAGACTCAAAAAGCGGACTCAAAATCAGAAATGAAAGAAGGGATGTTATAGCTGATACCACAGAAATACAAATAGGACAACCTAAAAGAAATGGCTAAGTTTCTAGAGACATACAACCTTCCAAGACAGAATCATGAAAAAACAGAAAATCTGAACAGATTACCAGTAAGGAGATTAAATTAGTAATCAAAAACCTCCAAACAATAAAAGTCTAGGAACAGATGCCTTCACTGGTGAATTCTACCAAACATTCAAAGAATCCTTTTCAAACCATAAGAAGTATAAATTGTCAGTTATAAAAATAGTCACAAAGATATAAAATACAGCACAGGGAATATAGTCAGCAACACAGTACTATGTATGGTGTCTGATGGGTACTAGATTTATTTGAGTGATCACACTGTAAGGTATATAAATGTCTGATCACTATTTTGTACATTTGAAACTAATATATGTCAACTGTAATTGAAAATTTAAAACGACAACAACAATCCTACCAATTATTCTCAAGCTCTTCCAAAAATAGAAGAGGAGGAAAACATTTCCAAACTCATTTTACGAGGCCAGCAATTACCTGGATACCAAAACCAGATGAGGACACCACAAGAAAAGTATAGGCCAATATCCCTGATTAACACCGATGCAAAAATCCTCAACAAAATATTAGCAAACAATTCAACAATAATTTAAGAGGATCATACACCATGATCGAGTGGGATTTATCCCAGGAATGCAAGGATAGTTCAACATCTGCAAATCATTGTGATGCACCGCATTAACAATAAAATGAAGGATAAAAGTTATATGATTGTCTCAATAGATGCAGAAAAAGCATCTGACAAAATTCAACATCCATTTATGATAAAAACTCTCCGTAAAGTGAGTCTAGAGGGAACATACCTCAACATAATAAAGGCCATATATGACAGGCCAATAGATATGTTCAACAATGAAAAGCCAAAAGCTTTTCCTCTAAGATCAGGAAGACGACAAGGACGCCCATTCTCACCACTTTTATTCATCATAGTACTGAAAATTCTAGCCAAAGCAAATAAACAAAAAGAAAGAAAAGGCATCCAAAGTGGAAAGAAATAAAAATGTTACTATTTGCAGATGACATGATATTACATGTAGAAAACCCTAATGACTTCCCCAAAAAACTATTAGAACTACCAAGTGAATTCATTGAAGTTGCAGGATACAAAATCAATATGCAGAAATCTGTTGTACTTCTATACACTAATAACAAACTATTAGAAAAAGAAATTAAACATTTAGTTTCATCAAAAAGAATAAAATATCTAGGAAATTTAACCAAGGAGGTAAAAAGACTTACACTGAAGACTATAAGACATTGATAAGAGAAATGAAGATGACACAAATAAATGAAAAGATATTCTGTGCTCATAGATTGGAAGAATATTGTTAAAATCTCCATATTACCCAAAGCAATTTGCAGATTGAATGCAATCTATCAAAATTCCAATGG